GCTTATTATTAATAAAGTATATAGTGGTATATCATGAGGTGAGTAGGTTGAACATTTGTGTATCAACAGACGAGGAATATGGATAGATATGGACCAACAATCCCTGATGGGAGTGGTAATACAAAATGTGATGGATACATTGATTAATACTTGAGAAAGGAAAAGAGAGCGTAAAAGTGGGTCTGCCACGGATCGGGGCTCACGGGTATAAATTGGAATCAGGTATGTGGACCCTTTCTACTACAGTGGCAGGGACACTTAAGAGAAAAGGGTCCAAGCAGTGTAGGCTAACGACTCCCAGAGCTGGAGTACAAGCAGAGAATAGAGCAGGGAACTGAATGAGTCAGTGGGAGAAAGATAGACTAGTAGGTCAAGGTACTAGGTGCAGCAATGCTAGGTAGGTGGCATAGGGTCCCCCAGGATGTGGAATCTAAGGGCCAGCCGGTGTTCCTGATGGTGAAGATGGACTTGGCTGTGTGCTGACCCCAGGTCACAATCCCTAGGTTCACCCAACTAATCTAACAGCCAAGAATGGTTGACAAGGCCAGAGTTCTGGACAGGTTGCAGACACCCACACAACAGACAAAACAAAGGTCAGGGACAGGCGGATGACTAGGACTTCCAGGGACAATCCAACGGATAGGTACCAAAGACAAAGATTTCCATGGACAAGCCAAGGATAGGGACAGACTGAAGACAAAGATTTACAGGGACCAGCCAAGGAACAGTACACGGATAAAATGCCCAACTGTCAATTGAGGGCTTCTCTTTTGGTTTTAAGCTCCCTACTTTTAATGGTACAGGTTGTTCAATAGTTTTAAAAAAACTGAAATTGGTGGATGATTTTTCTCACATTGTTGAAGAAAAAATCTTCAAAGAATTAGTTGCAGGTAGAATTGCTGGCCTCTCATCCTTTCAAGAACTTTTGCATATCTCCTTTAGGTTTGGTCCCTAAAAAAAAGCCTAATTCTTTTAAGCTGATTGATCATTTATCTTATCCTAAAGGTGGATTGCTGAATGATGAAACTGATGACTCTTTGGTGTAGGTATCCTATGCCTCGTTTGATTTAGCTGTTGATAAGTTTAGACGTTTTGATAGCTGGGCCCTTATGGCAAAAGTCGACATTAAGTGAGCGTTTAGATTACTTTCAATTGCTCCAGAAGCTTTTAATTCGCTGGGTTTTTATTTTGACAAGTGTTTCTATTTTGATAAATGTTTGCCTATCGGCTGTTCCCTTTCTTGTTATTATTTTGAATCATTTTCTTACTTTCTTGAGTGGGTTTTAGTTTTTGAGTCTGATTTGGATAATGTAGTTCATGATCTAGATGATTTTTGTGGACCTGCTAAAGCAACTATGTGCGTGTACCTCTTCCATTTGATTCTCTCCTTTTGAATCTGTTTTATTTAATACTGCCTTCATTTTAATGTTTTTTGCTGCCCTTCGGATTTCTGAGATGGTCCTGTGTAATAAAAAAAGGTGGGTCAGGTATTATGTTTGATGATGTTTTGTTTTCTGATCCCCCTATTTCTATTCACATAAAAAAATCTAAATCTGACCAATTGGGTCATGGGCAATGGATTCATTTACATGCTAGTCCAGAGTTATCGATTTGTCCGGTATCCGCTATTAAACATTTATCTGTCCATTAGACCCAGGTCTTCCGGTAATTTTTTAATGCATACAGATCTGTCTCCTATGACTAAATTTCAATTTGATTCAGTTTTATGTAACTGCCTTTCTGTCCTGGGTTTGAGTCATTTAAAAATTTCTTCCCATTCCTTCAGAATTGGTGCAGCAACAGAGGCGGCGAAATTGGGTTTAGATTAAACTATAATTTAAAAGGATTGGGAGGTGGGATTCTCAGCGATATAAATTGTATGTCCGGCCTAACCTGTCTATTTAATTTTTAGGTAGGAAAGCTTTTATTTGGATCATCGGACATTCCTGCATATTTTGGGCACATAAAAGAGCAGCTCATCGTGAATTTGGGTATGGATCCTGCCGCTTTTATAGTTACTGGAAGGGCGTTAGAGGTTTGAGTTGGTTTCATCTATTTTTCATTTTGTCTTCTTTATTTTAAGCATGGCCAACCCCTGGTATTATTATTTTTTCGTTTGGGGGGGGGTGACATTGGTAAAGTTAGAACTCTAGATTTGCTTTTTAGAATGAATTATGACCTACATTACATTCAGAACATATTTCCACATTGTATTCTTTTTTCTGTTTTTTCTGACATTGTGTCACGTTTGGCATGGCTTGGTTCCCCCTTATCCAGGCATTTTGAAAAAACGAGGAAGCGTATTAATCAGGCTTTGGAAAAATGTATGCCACTCATAGGGGGATTTTCGTTCAGGCACTATTAATTGGAAGGTGGTTTAGATGGTTTATACCAGGGATGGCCAAACTATGGCCCTCCAGCTTTGGAGGCTTTGCAAGATTCTCACAGCTACAGACATGACTTGGAGAGAGATGCTTCATGGGATTTGATGTTTCACCACAGCTGGAGGGCCGGAGTTTGGCCATCCCTGGTTTATACCGTCAAGATGGGGTTCATTTATCAGATATTGCTTTAGACTAGGGATGCACCGATACCGATACAAGCATCGGTATCGGCCGCGATACCGAGTATTTGCATGAGTACTCGTACTCGTGCAAATGCTCGGATGTCTAAAACGAGTACCTGTGTCCGCCATCATCCACCGCTGCACACAGCACACAGGACCACGTCTGCATTCATTCAAGATGGCCGCGATCTCCTTCTCCACGGGCGAACGGACGAAAGCAGACTCCGCCTTCTATTCCTCTGTACTCACTCGTGATTGGTGGGGAAGCCTGTCAATCATCCAATCGGCCAATCAGCGTGAGAAGAGGCAATTCCTCTGTCCTCACTCGTGATTGGTGGGGAAGCCTGTCAATCATCCAATCGGCCAATCAGCATGAGAAGAGGCCGGCATTGACAGATGACTAGGCTGTGACACGAGGGGATGAAGCAGACGGAGACGACGGAGAAAAAGTATCGGTACTCGTACTCAGACCCAAAAAAGTGGTATCGGTGCATCCCTACTTTAGACATATTAAATTTAGATTTGCAATCTTGCATCGAAAAGGCCGCGGCTGGTGGTGGTGCCGTTATTGCTGGTTAGCAATCCCGGCTGGTGGGAGGACTTAATTGTGTACAGTCCTTCATGATGGTATTGCTTGAGTCGTAGTGGCTAAGCAATTGTTGGTTGATTAATATTTTGAACAAAGTTGATTTTAAACCAATAAAAGTGCCACAGCCAATTTCAATCCAGATG